TATATCTTAACAGATAACGGGAAGCCCTTTGACAACAAGTTGATGGACAAGATCTGCAAGCTTTTTGACTTTAAGCAGCGAAACTCATCAGCTTACTATGCAGCTGCAAATGGGCTTGCTGAAGCTTTTAACAAAACCCTATGCAATTTGTTGAAGAAAGTGGTCTCAAAATCGAAAAGGGACTGGCATGACAGAATGGAAGAAGCTTTGTGGGCGTATAGAACCACATATCGCACACCTACTCAAAGCACTCCATATTCTTTGGTTTATGGTGTGGAAGCGGTCTTGCCTCTAGAGCGCCAAATACCTTCCTTAAGGTTGGCTATACAGGAGGGTCTTACTGATGAAGAGAATGCCAAGTTACGCTTGGCTGAGTTAGAAGCCTTGGATGAAAAACGTCTGCAAGCACAACAAAGCTTGGAGTGCTATCAAGCTCGTATGTCTAGAGCTTTTAACAAAAGGGTAAGGACCCGTTCCTTTCAAATTGGGGACAAAGTCCTAGCTGTTCGCAGGCCCATCATCGTCACGAGAAAAACCGGTCACAAGTTCACTTCAAGGTGGGATGGTCCCTACGTGATTTTAGAAGTTTACACCGGTGGGGCTTACAAGCTGATTAGTGAAGATGGTTTGAAGATCGGTCCAATTAATGGAAGGTTCCTAAAGCTTTACCACCCTTAAACTTGGGGTGTCAACACAAGTCATGAAGATCTGATGAATGACTCATCCACCAAAAATGCAGCACGTGGTTAAACTGCTAATGCATCTCGCTTTGTCTATGGGTGGGCCCAAATCATAGACGCTCCTGGCCCGCATGAGTCTAAACTGTGAACGGCTCTACTTTGTAAAAAAAAAAAAAAAAAAAAAAAAAAATCATTTGAACTACGTTTGACTTGATCTCCGTGATAGGAGTACGTAGGCAGCTTAGAATCAAATTATCTAAGTTCAGTCATAACAAAATCAAATCCAATTCATGTTGCAAGAGTGGAGACAATCCTTCAACGGGTGAAAGAAAAGTTGTATATATTATCGCTAAAGGACCGGCACATAAATGAGAAGCATTCAATTATCAAAAGTTAGAAACGAAACAACAAAATTTCTTGCAATCAAAAGAGAAACTAAATGACAAAGAGTATCAGTCAATAAAAAAGCCTAAAGCTAAGCATATCGTCTTTGCACGCTTCTAAGCCTCTCTTTGCCTCCTTTAAGCTCGTTTCATCTTCTGGCGTCAGTACAGTCAGGTCCTTAATGCGGGTGACCTCTGCCCCAGCCTCCGAAACGGCAGTCTTAGCATTGCCCAGGTCATCTGTAATTTTGGCAATCGCAGTGTCGCATTCCTCTGCCTTGGCACGAACTAACTTCAGTTCTTTCTCCAATTCCTCTTCCCGATCTTTTGTGGCCTTAAGCATCTTGTGTTGGCCCAATAGATCTTTCTTGAGTTTCCTAAACTCGTCTTGTGCATTCTTAAGCGCATCCTTCGCCAGGGATAAAGACTGAGACTCGCTCGACGTTTTGTCAGAAATTGTGGACCTTAAGTTATCAAAGGCTTGAGCTTTCGTGAAAATGTCTGCAACCCGTGTTTCCAAGGGAGAGATATCAATGTCTAACTTCCGCAGATTTGCAAAAGCGTTCAAAAAGCTCTCTTGCAAAGATGAAATCTGTTCTACCGAGGCGTCGTCCAACTTTTTGCGAAGCTTGTTCCAGACATTTATGACAACCACCTTAAATTCTTCCAGTACGAGGTCTTTCCCATCAAAGACAGAGACCTCAGGTCTATCTTGCTGACCTACGCGTGGCTCGTCGAGGGAATTCCCCGATTGGTGCGTGCTTGATGCTGAGGCATTGTTTGAATGTCCACTTTCTCCAGTATTGCTGGCTGCCACCCTTTTATTTGATGACTCAGCCCCTCCACTAGCAGGTATCGCCACATTTTCCTGTCAAGAAGTAAAAGAGGGTAAATTAAGTGCTACCGGCAATCATTGGGACAAGCGAGAACAATGATTTACCTCCACTGGGGAAGGCGAACGTCTGTCTCGTCGCCGTTTCCAGTGACGTTCATGGCTTTCCTCATCACCCGAGTCCGACCGTACCACGTCGGCCCTGTTTTTCGAGATGATATGCTCCTTTCTCTTCTTGGGTGGTGGTTCATCTCCCTGGACTGGATGTTTGCTCTTCTTGGCGGTGCCAGCCTCCTGCTGCACGTTGGCTGGATCCTCAGGAGCTAAACCCTTGATATTGCGCTCGAGGTAGTCCCCATGGACTTGGGCCCACCAATCTTTATAGCCCGGCGAGAAATACTTCTTCATGGTGACAGTAACTCGAGTCGCGGGAAATGTCACTCGCGACCCTGAACTCCTAAGTGTAGAGTGGCGCCAACGTTGGAAACCCTCCGAAAGCGTGACCTCACGTTCATCATTGCCCAGTATGCCAGAGCTGCCGTCTTGGTAGTAGCCGAACTGTCGGCTGAATCGATGTGGAGTGTAAGGCTCTGCGATACATGCATCTGCCCATCGCAATATGAGGTGGTTAGAACGAAGACACATGAGGTACTCGTGGTCGGTAGAGTGTGCGTCCCCATTATCGAGGAAGTGGATATCCTTAGTTAGGCGGCGTGTCGTGCAGAGCCAATTGGCGCTGTCGGCTTTGAACATCTTACGACGAGCCTCTACTGGTCCATAATACCTCGCGCCACCCTCTCCAGAGTAGGCAATCATCAGCGGGGAGGCGGACGTTTGATCATTTGCGAAATGAGTGTCGAAGTAGAACGACAGCCATCCATACACATAGTGAATGGGAAAGTGACTATCAACTGACCCCGGCGTACTAGAGTGCGATATTACATTCAATCCATTGTAGATGCTCGCAAGAACGGGGATCCCGAGGTTCAGTGTTTTGCCCGTCGCCATTAGACTAGCCATTTTGAATGTTTGGGCTCGAATGAGTCGCGTTGCTTTGATGGGGAGCACGAATACGCACAGCCAACAACTTAGGTATGCCGCCAAATGGGTCTCCTCCTCGTATTCGGAGGGAATTCCAAGCTCAGCAAAAGGCGCTTTGGTCGTTCTGGTCCAACCCCCGAATGCGGGGATCTTGCCACTTGGATTATGGGTGTTCCTCGGGCGAGTCTTCTTCTTATCCTCCTTCCTAGGCGGTGGCCTGTCATAAACTTGCGGTCTTCTGCTCCAGAATTCTATCCACTCAACAACGTGAACTGAACGACTTTTCTCCTGTTGCCCACGGCGACCACCTCGTTGCCTAATTCGGTTACCAAGGTGATAGTATGCTTGGAACAAATATTTACAACATTGAGGGGCGGAGTTGATGTCTTCCCCTGTTAATTGCGAGGCAGTTGGAACATACTCATCGTAGATGTCGCCAGATATCGGTAGTCCGCAAAGTACATGCATATCCCAAAGCGAGATTGAAAGCTCACCGAGGGATGTAAGCAAGGTATTTGTCATGGGGCACCACGCTTCGCAGAATGCTTGGACGATAGGCGTCGAGCGGTCATATGTGAATAAGGAGGCATATACGCCGTCGTAGATCGTCACATCCTCTAGAAGTTTGCGATGCCGACTGAGTATAGCCTCAGTCCATTCCCAATACCCCTTTGTGAAGCTAAACTCACCTTTAAAGCTGGGGTGCTGATTCCATGAAGCTTCACCTTCAAGTATCCATCTCCCTAAAGTCGGGAGCGTGTCTGTGTAGTCCACATGACTTAAGCCGGTCTTCAGAACCCATGTTTTCGATGGCTGGGTGTCAGTGTCATGGGTCCAATTTTCCACTTTATATGGCGGTATCTGGGAAAGACGAGTTCTCGATGCCATTGGTGGGTAAACGATGAACGACATGCTATCTTTTCCAGTCTCGTCGCTTGATACTTTGAGCCTCCTCTTCTGATCGGCTCCCACGGTTTCCCAAAACACGACCATCGTTCAAAAATAGCTTGCGGTGTATGAATCTGCATTAAGGACCAAGATGTCAAGTTCGAAAGTTGTCCAAAATTTATAAAGCAAGGACAAAGTTATAGGTCTGAAGTCGCCATGAAACTATTCAAGGAAATTTTTCACGTGATGATATGTGCACAAGGCAACCCATATAATATGTATTATATGTATATACATACCACGGTGTTATGGGAAGCAAGTATACGCACAGAACATATATGAGGCGAATATAGATTGTATATATTATGTGTGTGCATAATACATGGCCGTGAAATATTGGAGCAAATCGCATGCTACATATGTGTACATGTTCATGCACACTACTTAAATAGTCCTTTATATATTATGTGTGCGTCATATGCAAGTTAAAGCAAATATTGACCACGCATGTGTATATAGTATAGTAGTGTGTGTGTGAGATGTACTCACGCCAAGTGGAGTACTATGTATACTCCCATGCAAACAGTGAAGAAAAAAGGCAAAGGGCAATGAACGAAGCCAACACACGCCACGTATATACATTATATATGTGATTCATTTAATCAAGCAAGTTGGTGAATTAAACATATTATATATTAATATATGTACATTTACGCTAGCAGTGGAATGTTATTTATATATATATATGTATATCCATGCAAAAGCAAAGGCATTAAAACACATATTATATATATATGTACCCCATATCTATTTTCACATGGACCAGAATGATGTGTCATATATATGTTCATGTATATACACCCACGTGGCAAGGGGAAATAAGAAAACAAATCAGTGGTTTCTACCTACTACACAAGCTGCATATATACTGACACACGCATAGCATACATGGGAAAGAGTAATGGCGCAGGGCTCTATGCATTCTCTATTTAAATGCAAAGCAGAATATAGATTAGAGTAAAGACTCGTCATTTTGGTACCTCTGTCGACGAACGAAGTGAGTCCTCAACAAGCTTTCCTCCCTGTCGAGCTTGCCGGCGGTTGGTCCAAGCGCTCGGTCCTCCGGCGACGATCCCGCAGTGCACAGACGAACTCCTAGAACACGTGAAAGCGAAGACAAGAGTCAGGGCACACGACTTCGTCGGTAAGTCAGGAGAAAATCCTATTCGCAACCGTGGCCACGGTCATTGGGGCAGGCTCGGAGTCAAAAGTTTAGAGGAATGGAGTGACTGCAACTACGACACATTGGAGTGCAAAAGCATCAAATTGGTACTCCCCGCAGCAAGTGCGTGCAGTTCGTGAGCATGTGTCCGGCGGCGTACCAGCAGCTTTTTGCCCCCGGTGATGGCGGCCGGCGGCATGAACCCAAGCAGTTGTGCAAGGTGTTCTTCTTCATCACCTAGCGCGATAGGAATAGAGACGCAGGGGACGTGCCGGAGCAACGTCTTGACGACGGCGAGATCAAGCGATGGTGAAGGTCACCTCAGAAGGTCAATCCCCAGGTGTCTTTACCCAATGACTCACGGATATTGTTTGTTCTCTCCTGTCAAAAGAAAAATCAAGAAGATAGTATACCGCAAAAAAAAATTACCTTATGAATGAGATTGCAGCTCAGCCGAAGTTCAAATGCTGGCAACTCTAGTTCTTGGCGTGGAGGAATTGTAAAATCATGAGAGCTATTTATAGATGCAGAGTCTTGAAGTCTTATGAGTTCGGATGTGCTTAGGATTCAAATTTTGTTGGTTAATCCAAATTGGACTGCGAACTGTGTGGTGCAAATTATAATCTGATGAGATTCTAAAACTAATTGATGGAATTTCGAGCGAAGTAGTAGGATGTAGCTGAACATTAATTTGTCAGATGTTTAAAAGAATTTAAATTAAACATTTGGTTAAAATTAAGGAAAGGAGAAGGAAAAGAAATGGGCCCTTTAATGTGATGTTGGATACACTATGGGCTTTGAATATTGGGTTGTTGTCAAACTTGTATCTGGGCTACTGCCAAATTGGGGGCTTCTACATGCAAATATAGACCTTTGTGTTCAAAATGTCATTTATTGGGTTGCAATTTGTAAATATGGACATCCGGACAACAGCTAATTTCGAGACATTCTTCCCTTTGCATTTAAGGCACGTCAACCAAGTCTCGAAGGGGCAATTTGTAAGCATTGAAAATTTAAATAATATTATTGGATCGTGGTGGATAATTGGTTGCTAAATTAATTACTTTAATTAAGCTAATTGGACTAATATTTATTTAATCGGTTAATTAAATGGCCCATTAAATATTTAGTTGGTTTAATTACTTAATTAAATGTAATTGGATGTTGGATTGTTTGGCCCGAGATGATGAAATATTTAATCGAGTTGGACCAGGCTGCTTGAATGAATTGGGTTGCCTAATTAGCAGGCTTGACTTGGTCTTGGCCCACTAAATTATATGTGGGTTATATAATTTTGAGGAATTTGAATATTTGATATTATTTGGAAATTTAATGAAATCATGAACCTGGATGCAATAGAGTCCCGATACATTCCTTAATTTAATTAAAGAAATTAAATTAAATAAGGAATTAAGAGTTGGTTTGGAGATTTTCTCTCACCCTCACCACTATAAATAGTGGTTTCATTTTCAAAGAAGGGGCTCTGGAAATCTGCATATCGAAGCTCTGCCGAAATCTCTCCAGGATATCGTCTGGAACACGCCCGCAGTTGTACTGCGTATACCGCGCTGAGGAACACGCCACTTGAACACCGGAAGCCCTTCTTTGAAGATCAAGCCGCATATTAGCCCTTCATTGAAGAACAAGCTACATAACTCCGGAGGCCCTTCAGCAAGGAACTACTTCCAGTTCGGCATACTCCCGAACTCGGCATACTTCCAGTTCGGCATACTCCCGAACTTGGCATACTTCCAGTTCAATATACTTTGAACTAGGCACACTTCCAATTCGGCATATTCCGGATTCGGCATACTTCCAACAAAGAACTACTTCAAGTTCAGCATACTCTGAACCCGGCACACTTCCAATTTGGCATATTCCAAATTCGGCACACTTCCAATAGGCATACTGCTAGTAGAGAATCAGAGGACTTCTCATATACAGAGATTGTACCCCTTCCTGTTTGATATATACTTGATACTTCATTGTAACCGATACTTTGAATTTTGAATATATACAATTCAAGTTTTTCGCGTTTACAGTGTGGGCTGGTGGTTACGTAGATTTGGTGGCAATGACACTGCACGCAATCTGGACTACCTGAAATGCTGTTGTGTTTGGCAACGCGGTGACGACGCCGGCTACGATCTGTGCGTCAGTGTGCCAGTAGAGAAACGACTGGTCTAAGGCTCACTCCGGTGTTGGAGGTGCAATTCTGGTTCGTTGTCAACGACGATAGAGGAGGACGATCTGTGGGAGTTTTGGTGCACAGTAGATGCAGCCTTCGCGGCAGAACGTACGTTGTTGCGTATGGCTTCTGCTTGCGCTCCAGGGACGGTTGGTGGGTGGTGAAGGCAAGTGGTCCGTTGGTTGGGGTCGTTGATGCTCACATGGCGGAGGCTTTTGGCTTGCAGAAAGGTCCTGTCTTGGTTATTCTCGGTTGCCTTAATGCATATTCAAATTTGATAACGATTTAAATCAAATATAAGAACATTGTGATAATCAATAATTGGATTCAAATTTGATAACGATTTAAAGAATATAAGAACATTGTGATAATCAATAATTGGATCTAATGCAATAACAAAGATTTACTTAGAGAACAGTGATAATCAATAATTGGATCTAAAAGATTTACTTAAGAGATGCATATACGTTACATTAGGAGAGGCTAACTATGATACCGACAGTATAATCACAGTACACCATCTCTTCTTCTTCTTCTTTTTTTTTTTTTTTTTTTCAACAACGCCTCAAGGCTCGATCTCATAACCTCTCACATGAAAAAAATCACTGGCAATTGAGCACAAGATACTTGACAAGTACACTATCACTTTATATCATCATATTACCCTTTTACTGTTTTAATACTAAATAATACAATCAATTGCACCATTTCTTTATTTCTTCATATTACCGTTACCGATTTTAATAGTAACTAATACAACTAAGTATAGCATATTTATTGTACCAGAAAAATCTTTACATTAGTTAGGAGTTGGGACATAAGTTAGCATATCAAAAGCAGGGTACAAAAGCAATTTGCTTGCAAAAAAAAGTAAACAAATGCCACAAGAAAATTTAGAACTTTGGCTTTTTTACAACTTTTTGTATGGAAGTATACCTGACTAGTGACTACATAAGGAAGCTCCATATAATTGCTCCGCTCGAAAACCTCTCAATCCGCCAATGGCTCAAAGCCAAACACTAACCCCGCCAACTGTTGAGCTTTTGCTTCAAAGGATGCTCCATCGTTGAGCATGTCTTGGGCATCGGTTTCCATCCCGAGTTTGGAGAGGGCAAGAGCCTGCATATAGAACGCAGTGGGCCACTCGGGCAGGCAAACCTGCGCCTGCATAGCATCCCTCAGTGCCAGTTCGGGTTGACCGATCATCAAGTAAGATAGCGCCGCCCTCACGAAAACAGTACCAGAAGGGACAGGCATCATAGATACCAACTGTGATTACGAAACAATAAAACTATATCAATATCTCAGGATTGCAGGAATTGGAAACAGCTTATTCATTCTATTCGTATTCGAGATTTACATCCCATAGAGATACTGTGTCCCACTTTCAAAATAAAACTATCTCCTAATTACAATCAATAAGCACAATAGCTAACCCAACAGGGTAGCTCAAGTGACAAATGAGCTCTTTTGTGGGGAGGATTTCGGGATAACCCGGGTTCAATTCCCACAAGTGAACTGGGTGGACCTGGACCGTTAAACGGACAGAGAAAGACCCGGACTACATTGTGGTTTACACCGAAAAAAAATAAGCACAATAGCTTTCTAGTTATTAATGGAACCCTTGAATACACACTAATCCATCCCTAATTGTTGGTCACTTCCAACTATTTTCTAGGTCAGTTTGACTAAATTTTAAGTTTGGATAATAATGTATTCATTAATAGAAAATAAAATTATATTCTAAGTTCAAATCCTAACTCCTCAACCCCCATAAGAGGTACCTAAAAAGAAAATAAAAATTATTCTCTCCGTACAACTTTTTTTACCTACTTTTCTTTTAAAATCCATTCCATAATAATGTCCACTTTCCTAATTTAAACACTATTTACTTTTACCTTTATTCCTTTTAATTTATTCAATGTGGGTCCCAATTCACTTCATTTTTAGAAGGGAAGATTTGGAAATGATATGACCGTCTTAGGCTATATTTATCCCTCAAATACTCACTTTTAATAGTAGACTCTATTAGTCTACTGCCATATTATCATATTTGAAATTCACCCACTAATTTTTTTTTTACATCCCTACAATTCCATCTCACTTCCAACAATAATAATATAAACAAATAATTAATAATTAATAAAATAATAATAATAATAAAGCAAGAATTTACAAAAATTAAACTATCTTATGAGAAGCTACTTGCAGTAAGGTTCTGGCCAAACAAAACCTTAATTGACCTCGGAAAGTAAAGACAGAAATAAAATAGGGCCAATGAAGCATATAAATTATTGCAATTCCTTTACCAATGATATTTGGAAATTGACTTTGCATTTGGAAAGTTTAGAAAAAAAAAAAAAAAAATTACCTTAGAATAGTAATCAATTGCATTCTTGAAGTCATTGTCCCTAAAAGCAATGTCACCAAATTTCTTCGTATTCAGCATATCTTGCACTTGTTGTGTCCATTCTTGAAATGAAAGCTTTAGAATATCAAAAACGATGCACCTTATTATCAGATTGCAAGCTCCATAACAATTAGAAAATGGAAAAATATGAGGTCACAATATGTAAGAACCCCAAAATGAAAATCAAAACCTCTTTACTTTCTGTTCCCATAGGAAAATGGAAAAAATAACAGAATTTATGTGGCAGAACCAAAACAAGCAAAATTAAACAGCATATCTCTGCCTAAAAGAACTTCTTTCTCATCAATTTAATGGCTTCCAATGATTAACGAGGAATTGCAAAGCAGAAAAATCAGTTCACCTCATTTTCTGCACCCTCCTCATCTTTATAACCCGTTTTAAGCAAGATATCATGCACAGCAGTAAGGTCCATCCTTGCACAAGCCTTTCCAAGAGGAGAAAGCATGGTGGGAAGCACCACGGGAGTTTTTGTCAGACCCATCAAAACGTGTGACGCAACCTAAAATAGCAAATGTGAAGTCATATCCATAAACC